ATACCTCAACCACCCAAATTTCATACTTTAAATTATTTAGTGTCTTTTTGCTTAGAATTTCATCTAATGCCCTAGTGAACATATAAGGACCATAAAAAGTAATAGTATTTGTTTTTTTATAATACATTTATTAATTTACATTAACGTAAAAAGTCATTTAGAAATAAATTTAGATAATGTTGAAGTTATCAAATTACGATGAATAATATCGATAACTGCGGTAAATGTTGTCATGTCACAAAATCACTCGCGTATAAAAGATGAATCAAACCATTTAGGCATTCGACGATTGTTTGTACTCTAAACTACTGTTACACGAATCTATAGATTGTTGTGTCATTCTAGATTCTCTGATCATCTACATTCTTATAAACCATACTAGTGTTACTATTGGTACTATTATCATCTAAATTATCATTAACATTGCCATAGTAATTATCATTGTAATACTTATAATAATGGTAACCATTACTGAGTAGTGCAAAGAATTAAACTACTTCCACGATTTAATAAATCCGATGTTTTATTGAAATAGTTTCATTATTTTGTAGAGTTGACAATTGAGTATGAAAAAGAAATTTCATGTCAAAAAGATCCGTTTTCACTATCTCTGCTCTTTTTCATCGAAAACAGTCCACACAAAGTATTGTAAAAACTGTGCTACATCATTTTCCCAAAATTGAAAATAACGAGGAATATTATACTGGATGTTCAGCTCGTCGCAAGACCGCCTCTTTCCCGTTCATCGATTTTATCTTGATCTCCCTGTTGTACCACACCACATTTATCAACATAATTAATATTCTCCCCTGTTTGCCGGGGAAATTTCGAGGTCCCGAGCAAGTGTGTACACAGCGACACGCACCTAGTTGACATCGATTCGCCCGGAGCTTCATCAAAAAGGGAAAAAAAAGGGGGGGGGGCGCAGAACCGATCGCATCCACCCGCGAGGATACAGGCACTTGACATTCTGGAATCCACGCTCGTGTCGTTGAAAAGCGCTTAGCCGAACAAACGAAGGGGGTCGCAGGCGTGACGAATGAGTCCTACGCGCGGCACATGGTGTGATGTGTAGACGCTTCCGGGGGAGGAGATATTATGCAGCCTACGCGCAATACGCTCTCGTCATAGTTTTCCCGTATATGATTAACCTTTGAAATGTCCACCCATAAAAGTATTTCCCCAACCCTTACACTAGCATGAATAATTCAGGGGCTGGTTCACGGGAAATATGTTGGAGAGGAGGGGAATTAGGCGCGATAATGCACGGGTATACCCCGGTCACGCTAGATTTCGAGCCTCGGCTCTTTGGTTAATTGACACGCGTGATTCCGTAAATAAACAAACCAGGATTATGCCTGCTTAGCACGAGATGAGTTTCTTTCACCGGCCATGATTTACGGCTCATTGTAGTCAATTAGGAGGAGTGTGCTGTGTCTGGATGAACCCGAAATTTCGTATCTTCGTGCGACGGCCTTATTTCGGATGGCAGTATATAGAGGGGCATAAATATATACCCGTCCATTATACTTATTAGGGCCATAGAGTGTTTGTTCGCTGTTGCTTTCGCGAAATTAATCTAATAGAGTGATGATGGTAATACGAGGGGTGCCAACTATCGCAATGTTTGCGGATACATCAATTATTATCTACGTGCGCATACTTGAGATTTTTTCCTGTTCAAACAGTACACGGGAATCAATATTTCGGATATAAATTGGATGTTTGTTGGAAATTTTGAGTACAGCCTTTCTGACATTCCTTTTTTGAGCTCAAATTATGAGTATGCGTCTCACGAATGAATTCTCATCGAGTGTTACGTAAATACGATAAAACGTTGTTTAATACATTACTTACAAATTGATCAGTCGGTAACGAAACAAGGATATTACATCACGGATTCGATGAATAGACGTGGGTTATGGGGTTTCCGATAGGAGATATTATTTTTATGGATGCGTATCTGAATCCTCCGAAGCTATTGACCCCGTTGTTACTGGTGATCTTATATTACAGCGCATACATACAAATGTTTATTATCAGTTAAATATTCACTCCGAAAATCAGTGGTTATTTACTCACGTTAGATTACGAGTATGCAAAAATTATTCTTCTGCTCTACATTTTTTATGAATTCCAAAAAGTCTCAAATACTGCAATATTATAACTCTGGTCGATACGTAAATGCAATAAAATTACCTAACTGAAAGAAGGAATACAATTTATTCAAAACAACTTGTGCGCACATGGTTTTTTCTTTCGTTCGTCTTATAGAACATAGAGAGAGAAAAAAAAAAAAAAAAAAAAAAGATGAAACAAGAATGAAGGTCAGTGGAGCGCAATTTGTAAGGTATTAGCTCGTGAAAACATTGTGAAACAAGCACTAGCAGTCTAGGCATAGACAGAAATAGCAGCAGGCGATGACGGCTCATTATAGGAGAGGAGGGGCTTTTGAGCTTACAATTATTAGGTTCCTGTGACGAACGAGTAACGGGGCTGTGACGACAATCTCTGCGCAGCGTCGATTAGCAAGTAGATTGAAGCAAGGCGTGATCCAGCTCTTGGGTCTGTTGTAGGTATCCAAGCAAAAGAATGGGTACAACTTTTCCGATCATCGAGAAGGCTTATTTTCAATCATGTCAGTGTTTTACTTGACCTCAACGGTTTATTGAATGTCATTCTGTTAGTTGGCAATCAAATTGATTTCAACGATTTATTCAATTATTTTTTGAGAGCATTAAGAGATAGCAATATGAGGCAAAAGCATTTGTTAAAAATTTAATTCACTTGATTTTCATACATGTGACGATTGAACACAGGCAGATGTGTAGATGTTTTTCTTATCTTCGATTTTTGTTTGATACTTTATACTTGTACGCATTCAACATACCGAACTGTTTTATATTAGAAGTAATCTAGAAATAAATGATAAAAATGAGGGTTATTGTACCTATAACATTATTTGTCTGTTGCACACAAGTGTTCCTTTTTGAGTATATTGAAAAAAATGTTACAAGGTGTAGGTACAGGTTACCGATATGACTTGGTTCGAAAGAAGTATTTTCTTTATGTAGCTCATGAAAGGTGCAACTTTTAGATTAGAAATTATACAAAATATTAAAGTTTTTTAATCGTTCAAAAATTTCCATTGACCAGTTCTATGTTCCCGGGTGGTATTAAAAAGTAATTGTTCGCTTCGACGCAGTTGTTGTATTCTGATATTATTGATAAAACTCGTAACGGCCAATTGTGTTCTTTGTCACGACACACCATCGACCCATTTTGAGTGCACATAGTACGTAAATCTGCAAGGCAAAAGGGACGGAAGCTTTGGGTTCGAAAACAAGGTTGTCTCCGAGTGGCAGTCTTTTGGACGTGTGCCGCGACGTTGTGTCGCGCCAAAACGCTCGACATTGTACAATCACAGGGGGATTGGATTTTTTCGCGTGGCTCCGGCTGGGTGTCATATTTCAAACCTTCATGGAAAGTGGAAGTACTGGTATTTTCGTCGTGAGAGAATATCTGGATGTCTGGATTGCCGAGATGAACTGCACATGAGAAAAAATGGCAGAGAAAGAGAGATATAAATCTACACTTTTGGCGATTAAATGAGTTCCCAGGACTTATTTTTTAGAGCGTTTTATGCATTGTTTAAATAAGGAAATATTTCATTTTTAATAGATCGATTCAGATTTTTTACTTTGTTTTCTTCGATAATATGTTTTTTTTTTGTTTCAGAAACGTCATCCTCTGCTATAATTTAAATTATTCATAGTATGACATGCACCGTAATTTTATGCATGAGCCAGTACATAGATAGTAAAAACTAATCCAATCGAAAAAATGTTGAGTTCAGTGACAGATTAAAATTTTTCAATCTAGAAAATCTCATTTAGAAAAGTTGAGATCATATAAAGTACGAGGGCAAGAAAAGGAGTTGAAAAATATTTGTTATTTTATTTCACATTGATACGTTAATTTAACTGAATCTCTGAAGATACAATTGTTTAAAAAATAAAAAGTTGGAGGGGGAATTTTTAGCATTAATTAATTAAAAAGTTATGATTGATTTGGTAACATTGAAAATATTCAAGCATCAGAAAAAATTTTCATGAGCTGAAAGTTAATAATTTTTAAACCATCATTCAACCACGCTTTAAACTAAAAAGTATACATAAAAAGAATTAAAAGATAATTTATTTATCAGTATACTAAAAAGTAGACACAAAATTTTCCATCATAAGTATGATTGATAAAAACTATTGGTTTCCAGCATTTACCATAACTCATTAGAGATTTCTTGCATAAGCTTTTATCAATCATGCGTAATATAAAAATTGATTTTAACTATTTAATTTGTTTATAAAATGTTTTTACAATTTTTGTACTCTCTTTGCTTAAATTGTTAAATTATAATGTTTATTGGTAGTTAAACTAATCGATTCACACTACAATTAACTTCTTACACACGAATTAATTGTTTAAGTAGATACAGGCGAGTCAGGTAAGACGAGAGCCATCGATGGGTGCATAGAGAAACGCAAGTGATCCAACTTGATCTATTTTTAAAATGGAATGTCTATTTGCCAAAAGTAAATAAAAAAAGCAACGAAGTCTGATACGCTTATACCGCATTGTCCAAAAAACGTTGTTTTAGCTAATCAAGAAATAAGTTTGTATTGTTTACAAGATTACATTCATCCTGCTACGAATAAAAAGACGGAACGAGTTAAATAAAAATGTGTGGCTAACAGTCGTTGCAAGATTTTTTCGATAAAATCATATAAAACGTTCGCATGTAGCCAAACCAAGTCAATATGTTCAAAGCTCCAGTACTTAATAAAGTCTTACCTCAAACTACAAAATGCTCGACTCTAAGAAAAAAAAAAGAAATGTTTCTCGATATCCGGCTCGAATAACCTGAGCACACACGGTTATCTTTGATACGTCATTACCACCAGATGTAAGTAAAAAAAATAAAATTTTACTAATTGTTCCAGTGTCGGAGTTCTCCCAGGCACTGGGAGGAGCAATGGAATGCCATGGCCAGAACATCATCCATCTGGTCGACGACTTTCGAAACCGCACCGCCGAGTCACGGGGTGATGCGAGCAGCATGCGCCGCGTCTGGGACAGCCTTTTACGGCAGGTTGAGGCGGACGCAAGTGCCCATCTCGACTTTGCCGCTATGCTGCAGCAGGTGTCGAGACCCGTGCTCGAGGGCTGCTTCCATCGCAAGGTGCAACACAGAAAGGTAATGACGTTCTTGAATTTCAGACTACACATTGCGTGTTGGAACCATGGATCTCAAATTATTGATACCTTATTTACTGTCTTGATGTATATGCGTCCTTGCAGCAGTATCGTTAAACTGATACATTTACACTACTTTATCTCTCTTACCTGTGCCTCTTATCGTAATATTTAACCAGTTGAAATTTCACTCTTACGTATACTTATAAACTAGTTTTTCATATCGTCGTATAGTCGTCGCGTATCAGCAAAAAAACTTGATTCCTTGAAAATAGCAAGACCTGCGTCTCGGTTGCCAACAGGTGTTCACGCATCGCGAGTCCTACGAGCAGTTGATGGCCAAGACGGAGGAAAAGCTGCAGCGCGCCCGAGCGGAGTACAAGCGAGCGTACGGCGCGTTACTCGGTACGCCCGAGCCGAGCCAGGACTCGGAGCTGAAGCGCGCCTATCTCGAAGCCCACAACGCTTACGTGCTCCAGTTGCGCGCGACCAACGCCATGGTCGATTTCTACCAGATCCAGTGTCTGCCCGGCCTCCTCGGCGAGATCGGGGAAATCTACGAGGAGCTGTGCAGCCTCGCCTGCGGCTGCATCTCCGGGGTGTCCGATGCGGCGAACGACAGGATCATCGAGCAATCCAAGCGGTACCAGGCCCTAGGCAAGGAGGTCAAGACTGTCAATGCCCAGTTGGATCTGCAGGTAATCGAGTCATCCTCCCCCCTCCCCGTACACGCTCCGCTACTCCGGAATCCAAGAGATACAGGCGCACCCCTATTGCTTACCTACGATATAGCCTGCACGGACAATGTGTATACTGTGCGCGCTCCAGTGCATCCAAATTCACTGTCGAGATATACCTAAATACACAGTACGATGCACACGTGCAAGGGGTATTTTTCACGCGACACTGACGTTCAAACAGTTCGTATATCCGGTATATTGTTATCGTGCACAGTTGGTTTATCCAACACCCGATTGTGTCACCTACATGTGTAGTGCATACTGCATCTCATTGTTTATAAATGTTTGTAGTCCTGCGCTCCGGAATTGAAAAAATTTGTCTCGTGGGGTGCAACCGTAAGTCGAACATTTACTTATATCTTATGTGTACCTTCAGGAGTAAAAGGTTCTAAATGCAAAAATAGCACAGTTTTTTTAATCATATTTTCTGGGCAAAAATCGAGGGAAAAGCTTAGTAGTGTTTTTTTTTTTTTTTTTTTGTATCGACCATATTGCCATAACGTTGTCGTTTTAAATGTA